TTGGTCTGCGTTGAAACATTGATTGGGCTAGTCATTAGTATTCTAGCATTCTGCTTCGCTATCTTGTACTACGTGAAAGGGGTCAGTCCCGGTCAAGTCAGGACTTGTATCCAAAGTCTTCCCTGCGCTATAAAGCACCATTTTGTATGTATCGGAATGCACATTGCTTGTTGAGATTCCACTTGCAATGCATTGTCCATTCAGTCCTTTTTATCACATTGCGGATCCTCGGTTTATATGTACATCTCCGAACTGGGCATGTAACAGTTGGTATCGGAACACCGCACGTGAATCAGGACAACCTGATTTGACACGTGTGCGGGGACTAGGTAGCTGATTAGGCTTGATTGATTGATTGGAGCACATAAGTTAGCCCCAAAAATCACGATTTTGACCTCACTGCCGAAAATCGTTTTTTTTTTCTTTTCTTGGATTTTGTTTTCTCGCTATTTCTGTTGAGCGCAACATGTGAAATTTCCGTTTTCGTTTTTCTTATGAAAATCCGAAATTTCGTTGTTGGAAATCCGGAATATCTTTTTCTCGAAAATTTCGATCTCCTTTTGCAATTTCCCGTAACTTGGAAATTAGGAATATTTTTTTCCGAAAGTCGTTTTTCATAAAATGGTACGGGAAATCCCTCTTGCAGTACCATTTTCCAAACTGCGAATACTCTCATCTGAGTAAATCCGAATACTTGTTATTTCTTTTCGGAATTTTTTTATTTTTATTTTTCCCAGTTCTATGATTTTCACTACCTGATACTCATTGGCAGTCTCAAGTTCAATTTTTTTTTCTCATTGATACTTTCGCACTTCAAGGGAGGTTGGGAAACCTACTGAACTTGCAAAACTCGAGATTTTTATTTTCTCAATTTTTTTTTTGCAAAGTTCAAACTTTTCTTTTTTGATTAGTGGCTCCTTATCTGGGCAATTTATCCCACCCACCCCTCCCCATCTATGTTGTTGCCCCCTCTGGTCTTACCTTCTCTATCTGTCTTCGGGTACCCCCTGCGGTGGCATTGGTGAGTTGCCACGTCAGCATGTTACGTCAGCAGACCACGTTAGCAGGCCACGTCAGCGGACCACATCAGCAGGACACGTCAGCAGGCCACGACAGCCGACAACAGTGCCACGTCAACAGCAGGGAGTACCACGTCAGCAGCGCCCCAATCTGGTCTCTTTTGCGCTCGCAAACAGTTGTCATGGACCAGAAGTCCGGGGAAACGGACGAGGCCTATCAGGCCCGGATGCTGCTTCTGATTACCGAAACTAAGAAACGGTCGGATGCAGTAGCAGCCGCAGCAAAGAAGAAGGTAGAGGACGCCGAGAAGGCACGTCTGCTGGCAATTGAACAGCAGCGCCAGCACGACGTGGCCGCAGCAAAGGCTGCCGATGAAGAACGAGTTCAACGTCACGAGAGGATATTCAGCGGAGAGCAAGCTTTGCTCACAATGGCAGCGGATTGGCGGGCCGAGACCGAGAATGGCAAGATGGAAGAGAGTAAAACAAGATCGCTCTACTCCTCTCCCATCTCACGGACCTCTTGGCAACATGCATTACACAGCAGGAGGACATCCACAGCCTCGACGACGCGCTGCCTCAAGTCTACAGCCGCCTCCGGCAGCTGGAGCAGCTACCCGTCGCCGCCCCCGATGCCAGCTCTTCCAACACCTTCGATCGCCTCGAGGCATTGGAGATGGACGTCGGCTCCCTCAAGGACGGCGTGCAGTTACAGCAAACCGCAACGCAACAGTTGGAGCAGCGGATCTGTACTGCCGCCAACCACTCGAGCTCGGAACCGCGTGAGACAGCTCCAAAGTTTGACGGGCAGAAGATCTTCTGCGACTCAACGAAGACAAATCCGATTTCATGGTTCCGCAAGTTGGAGCTCACACTGCAGCTACACTACGTCAAAGAACACAAGCACCACGGGTACTTGTACTCCCGGTCAGGGGGCGCATGCCAAGCATGGTTGGACAATCTCTTGTCCAAGTACGGAGTGGTAGCTGCCGACTTGCATACCAAGACCAGTTGGGATGATCTGAAAGCGGCGTGGCATAAGCGGTTCCAAGTAGAGCCACCGGAGATCAAGGCAATGGACAAGCTGATGGTCTTCGAACAAGGCACGCTGCCGAGCGTCGACTGGATTGCTGAGTACCAACGCTTGACATCCGTCCCAGACATCCAAATGGGCTTCAAAGCCATCAAACACTACTTCATCCCGAGGTCGTATCCGACGTTGGGCAATGCCTTGACTCACGTCGAGGACACCCTGACGACACCGGCAGAACTTTTTGACAAGGTCGCGCAGATTATTGTCACGAACAAGGAGGCCAAGAATCTCCAGCGTTCGTCTGCGCCAAACCTGAGCAGAGATCAGCATCGGCCGAAAGTGGTCGTGGTCGCGGCGGCAACGCCAAACGACCAAACTATCGAGGCCGTGTCTGCCAATGAAGGGGACAGACTCGCAGCCGCCCGGGAAGGTGGCCACTCCGGCAAAGGTCGAGGACGCGGCAAGGCGAAGACAAACACCACATCTAGCCCCGGGCCCGGCGCAACAGCTCCAGCCTCATGGTCCTATTACGGTCTCTCCGAATCGGCGTAAGGCACGCACGAGATTCCGCTATTGTCTATGGTGTAACAACGATCAACACGACACAATGGCCTGCCAGTTGAAAGTCAAAGGCAAATCGGGAAACTGAGCACCGTCGGGAGTGACTCGACGACACTCTCGACGCCTTTGGAACCGGTCGCTTCGCGGGTGACCGCCCTTCGTTCCGAGGCACATGCGGAAGTCGATAGTCCTCCTCTTCTTTATTCTTTTGAGGACTATGCTGCCTGGCTCGTTCCTACGCTGGGTACTCAAGCTCAAGGACAAGACGTGTGTGCGGCATCTTCTCCGTCTGGCAGCGGCGACTTATCATCTTCAAGTGGTTCTTCATGGGATTCGGCGCGCGAGTTCAACATAGAGGTATTGGACCCGCTCACGTCCGGGGATTTCGCATGGCTTCCTCTCCCGACCACGGGCCGCTTGCCGGGACCGCAATGCGCAGCACTATGTGCTCATCTTCACACGTACTTATCCTTCTATGCACCACCAACTTCGCCGACGGATGACGAAGTCGCGGTGGGGGACATTCTTGCGTATGTCACCAAGGTGGCCCGCGAGTTTCGCAATCAGCGGTACGACAACAACAACGCACCGCTCCTCTATGTCCGCATCCAAGTTGGGCAAGCGTCCTGCAGCGCTTTGCTGGATAGCGGCGCGTCTCGCAACTTTATGAGCCAAGCCTTTATGCACAGGGTTGGCCTTGGTGCACAAGTTCGAAGGAAGGCGAACCCGACGACGATCAAGCTGGCGGACGGAAGGACGCAGCAACTTATCGACCGTTACATCGAGGCCGTACCGGTGTATTTCGCGCCTCATGCATGCGAACCGGTGACATTTGACATTTTGGACACGGACTTCGACCGGCGGACTCTTACCGTTCACGACACTTTCTGGGTCGAGGTGCCGTGTACTATTCCTCTTCCGCACCCTTCAATTCGGTGCCAAGTGGTGACGGCCAAGTCATTTCGGGCTACTTGTGCTTACGAGCAGCCCGACGAAATCGACCTATGTTTCCTACGGGTCGTCGCGGTAGCCGACTCTTCATCCACAGACTTGACTTCGGACCCCCGTGTGGTGCGGTTGCTTGACAAGTTCGCCGACATCTTCGAGTCACCTACCGATGTGGTGCCGGATCGGCCGATCTCTCACGAGATCATTCTTGAGGCCGGTGTCGTGCCGCCGAAAGGTTGCATTTATCACATGAGCGAGGAGGAACTTACAGTCCTCCGCGCACAACTCGATGATTTGTTGGACAAGGGCTGGATACGCCCCAGTAGCTCTCCATAAAGAGCGCCAGTTCTCTTCGTACGAAAGAAGAACAAAGATTTACAATTGTACATCGACTACCGCAAGCTCAACACGCAAACCGTCAAGAATGTGGGGCCTCTTCCTCGCATCGACGATCTTCTTGAGCGATTAGGCGGTGCAAAGTATTTTTCCAAGCTGGATTTGAAGTCGGGATATCATCAAATCTCGATCCGACCGAACGATCGTTACGAATCCGCGTTCAAGACGCGATATGGGCATTCTGAGTGGGTGCTCATGCCTTTTGGCCTCACCAACGCCCCGGCGACCTTTCAAGCGGCAATGATCAACGAGTTTCGTGCAATATTGAACCGGTTCGTGCTGGTCTACTTAGACGATATTCTTGTCTATAGCCGGTCATTGGAAGATCATCTTGAGCACCTTCGACGAGTGTTGGAGACGCTCCCCCGCGCCAAGTACAAGGCCAACCGAGACAAGTGCGAATTTGTCCGACAAGAGCTGGAATATTTGGCCCATTTTGTCACATCGGAGGGCATCTGTCCGCTATCGGACAAGATTCGAGCCATCCAAGAGCGCCGGAGCCACGGAACGTCACGGATGTCCGTTCATTCCTTGGTCTCGCCGGCTACTACCAGCGTTTTATCAAGGCTACGCGAAGATCGCGGCCCACTTGACCAAGCTTCAATACAAGGATCGGTCGTTTGACTTCGGAGAGGAGGCGCGGGAATCATTTTTGGCTCTCAAACCTGCGCTATTATCTGCGGAGGTCTTGCGCATATACGACCCACTTTTGCCTACGCGCGTCACAACGGATGCGTCCGGCTATGGCATTGGTGTGGTCCTCGAGCACACGATGGCGTGGACTGGCACCCGGTCGAGTATTTCAACAAGAAAGTGTCCGTCGTGCACTCCATTGATGATGCACGCAAGAAGGAGCTCCTCGCCTTCGTCCACGCGCGCAAGTGGTGGCGGCACTTCCTCCTTGGTAGAAGCCAATTCCAATGGGTAACAGACAACAATCCGTTGGTCTTTTACGAGACCCAAGACACCGTCAACAACACCATCGCTCGATGGATGGCTTTCATCGACCAGTTCGACTTGTTTCCCGATCACATTCCGGGGAAGTCGAACCGTTTTGCGGATGCTCTCTCACGTCGTCCGGATCATTGTACCGCGGTCTATTCAACCTTCGAGATCGACAACGGCCTGCGGGACAGCTTCATCCGCGGCTACCAAGCGGACCCCGAGTTTCGCGACAAGTACGCGAATTGCTCCTCTCCTAATTCGGCGCCTTCTCACTACCGGATCCAAGCGGGGTACTTTACACATGGGGGAAGGACCTTCTTTGCGTACCGAGTGACCCTCACTTGCGTACACGACTTCTTGGCGAGTTCCACGATGCTCCCGCCACCGGACACTTTGGAGTCAATCGCACGATTGGCCGACTTCGCGAGCGATTTTGGTGGCCCGACCTTCTCGGCGACGTCACACGCTATTGCGAGTCATGCGGGGTTTGCCGACGCTGCAAATCCCACAACCATCATCCATACGGCGAGTTGCGACCACTACCGGTCCCCTTGCAGTGAAGGGAAACGATTGCCATGGACATTACCGGCCCGTTCCCCAAGCACAAGACCGGCATGTGTGGGATTCTCACGGTAGTCGACCGACTCACCAAGTTCGCCATGTTTTTGCCTTGCCACTATCATGCCAAGGCACCGGAGTTGGCCAAGGTCCTTTACGCCGGTTGGATTCGAACCAAGGGTTACCCCAAGGAAATCGTCTGCGACCGCGACACTCGGTTCATGTCCGATTTTTGGTTGGCACTCATCAAACGATGGGGCTCATCTCTCAAGCCAAGTTCGGCTCACCACCCCCAAACTGATGGCCAAACAGAGAGGGCGCATCAGACTGCACAAGTGCTCCTTCGCACTCTCATCCGCCCCGACTAGAAGGATTGGGTTGAGCGGCTGCCGGATGTCGAGTTGGCCTACAACTCGTCCATCCACCCGGCTAGCGGGATGTCGCCCTTCGAGTTTGAGCACGGCTCGCAGGTCACTTCGTCGTTGGACACAATCATTCTACGAACAGCCGAGAGCGACGACCATCTTCTTTTCTTGCGTCCAATGCAAGAGCTACTTGTCAAGGCTTGCGAACAGATGGCCAAGACGAAGCAACGCATGAGCCAACAGGCTAATCACCAGCGTCTTCCTTGCCCATTCCGCGTCGGCGATCTCGTTTGGGTTTCCGCCGTGGAATTCAGCCTTGAACAAGATATCTCTCGCAAGCTCCTCCCAAAATGGATGGGGCCCTGGCCGATCGTGGCACCCGCTGGGGATGCACCCGAGGGACCTTCCTTCAATATTCAGGTGCTAGCCCATTTGCCCGTCTACCCAGTCTTTCACTGCTCCAAGTTGGCTCTTTACACGCCAGCGGAACATGACGATTTTCCAGGGCGACATTCGCAAGACCCACCCTCTATGGACGGTTTTCAGGAGGTCGGTGACATCATCTCCCAGCGACGCTACGGCAACAGGCCAACCAAGTACTTGGTCCATACTGCGCACACCGAGCTGACCGTTGGTTGACCTATGCGGAACTTCAAGCAACAGCTCCAGACGTTCTCGCACGCTATGAACGCAAGATGCAAGGCAAGTCGGTCTCTTCGGCTCCACGCCGCACCCGCGTCCAGGTTCCACCTTCAGATTGTCAGCTTCGCCCTCGCCCCGGCTTGACTTCATAAGGAGGGGGGGGTGTTACATGTTGCGCCTGCACACGAGGGCCATTTTCCAGGCCCTGCATCCCTCAGGCTGAAAGCCTGAAAACCAAGGCCTACATGCCCCGTGTCTGTTCAGCTCGAAAGCCTGAAAAACAGGGGCCTACAGACCCTGTGTCGTTTCAGACTAAAAATGGCAGTAGCCTTTTTAGCCTGAAACGAAGGGCCATTTTCGGTCAGACCAACCTGCCCTGAGACTCAGGCACCAAACCAGGGTGTTAGGAACAGGATATTTTTGGCCTGTTCCCACGACAGCTGCAGCGCCAGACCCTGGCTCAGTTTGGCATTGGCAAGCGCAGCCTCCTGGACTGCCCGCCCTGCAACTGCAGGCAGCCGGAGGCAGTCAGGAGGCAGGCCGAGGTAGTACATAGGGACTTCCCATGCACTTCACGGGCAGGCAGGAGGCAGTCAGTAGTCTTCAGGATTCGGCAGCAGCACTCTGGATGAGCGCTGCAGGAATAGTAGCAGCGTTAACAGTAGTCTTCAGCGCTGGGCGCTAGTAGCGTTAGCTGTAGTCCTCAGCGTTGGGCGCCATAGCAGCTAGAGTAGTACTAGAGAGAGGGATTGGGCGAGGCCAGAGGGACTTACCTGCAGCGCCATTGCTCCAGCTTCATCTTCGAGGTACCTGCAGCACAACGCCATCTTCACAGTTTAGTACCTGGCACATGAGAGAGAGAGTTCTTCTTCTTCCTCTTCTCAGTCCACTATCTCCTTCTCACCCTCTCGCTATCTGACTTCACTGCATCAGCAGAC